CCACTGTGTATATATATATATATATATATATATATATATATATACACATGATGAAATAGAATATGCGCTATAAACCAACTGATCTAAAGCCTAACAATGAAATAAATGATTTTATCATTTTGTCACTATTCATTATTTGCTATTCACATATTCAGGCCTAATAGATTTGTTTTTTTTCATTCAGATAAATAAAGAATGTGTGCGAGGGCTGTGGGCAGGTCAGCAGCAGGAGCTCATCTTCCTCCGGAACCGCAATCCTGAGCGTGGAAGCATCCAGAACTCAAAGCAGGCTCTGCGAAACATGATCAACTCCTCCTGCGACCAGCCCCTGGGTTACCCCATGTTTGTGTCCCCACTCACCACCTCGTATATGGGAACTCACAAGCAGATCAAAGACATATGGGGCGGCCCTCTCAGTTTGGAGAGCATTCGCACCTGGCTGCTCTCCAGGTGGTTTCGGTATGTATGAGGCATTAAAGAAACAATTAACTCAAAAATTAAAATTTGTTGTAGATTTAGTCCATCCAAGATGTAGATGAGTTTATTTCTTCATCGGAAAATCTGCTGTTTGGACTCTCATTCTGACGGCACCCATTCACTGCAGAGGAGCAAGTGATGTAATGCTAAATTTCTCCAAATCTGTTCCGATGAAAAAACAAACTCATCCACATCTTAGATGGCCTGAGGGAGAGTACATTTTCAGCAAATTTTTCTTTCTAGTCTGAAAAAGTCTTTTTCAAAACCTTCTAGGGTGAGGAAAGATAACCTTACAAGCTGTAACAGTGGCATGAACATGGAGGATGTGGATTGTGCTGGTTCCTCCTTAAGTCAGAATCATAACTCCGCCACATCCCAGAGCCTAAGCCTTTATCATGGCCGCCCTCGCAGTTCCCAGTCCAGACACCACGGAGGTCAGAATGCATCATACTATATGCATCAGTACAGTTTATAGTCCTAAAACCTGTAAGAAATGTAACATATTTGTTAAAGTAATTTTTTTTCTCCACAGCTCACCGAGAGTATCGCAGTCGCTCAGTGCAACCTCACGGCCAGCGCCCCCCGGTCACCAGTCGATCGGGTCCCATCCTGGACAGCCAGCATGGCTCTGGCTCTGGAGGCCCTGGGCTAGTGCAGCGCCTTTCCAACAGCCAGCTGTCCTTCAACACCTCCTCCATTGCCTCTGTCTTTTCCCAGGTGCCTCGTTTGTCCACAACAGGGCCTCTGGCTTCAGCCACAGGTCAGCATCACTCCAGCCAGGTGTCTTCCTCCAGCTCCACACTGAGCCTGCTGTTTGGCAAGCGGAGCTTCTCCAGTGGCCTGGTCATCTCGGGCCTCTCTGCAGCTGAGGGGGGAAACACCAGCGATACGCAGTCCTCAAGCTCCGTCAACATCGTCCTGGGCCCGTCCTGTCGCTCGAGTCGCGCAACGCAGGTGAGATGATGTCTTTGAGGTGTTTTTACAGTGATATACAAAACATTTTGTTGTTAAACCATTTTCAAGAAACAAAAGCTTACAAAAATGGACTACTGTTAGCCTCCAGATGGGATTTTGTCCATTTTCAGCAGATGCTAATTGCCCATTCCAAGGTTTTTTTATGGTCAATCTAGACATATAAAGCAGAGGCTAGTGAAACACTTCCCTTCAAAGTTATTTATAACTTATTGATATATATATAATGCTTCACCACTCTTACATTTCAGCTATAGCAAAATACATATATATTCAATGATCTGTCAAATAATGTTAATTTGCAGTGTTCTTTAACTATTTTTAACTCGGAAAATGTTATGCACCCAGGGTCCAAAATGAAGTTTTTGGACTCTGGTGCCAGTGGTCACCAGTGGACCATATATATATATAAATATATAATTTTTATTTTATTTTATATTTTTATTCAGCAAGGATGCATTAAAATGATAAAAACGTGACAGTAAATACATTTATAATGTCAATAATTACAAAATATTTCCGAAGGATCATGTGAGACTAAAGACTGGAGTAATGATTGCTAAAAATTCAGCATTACCATTACAAATTACATTTTCAAATGTATTAAAATAGAAAACCGTTAAATTGTAATATTTCACAGTATTACTGGTTTTACTGTATTTTAATCAAATAAATAAGAGACGCAAGATACTTCTTTCAAACTTTTGAGTGGTAGATATTTCTACACAAGTTCTGGAGTTAACTTCTCATGGTAAAACAGTTGAGAAAATGTTTTCTTTAATAGGGTTTCACATCTTTTATTTGACTTTTTTTTTTTTAAGTTAATTTTATACCTATATTTTTTCTTTCCCTCTTCTTTCTCCTTTCAACCAGTTTTTCTTTTTATCATAATCATAAATATCATAAGTAAGTGCCTTTTACAGATTTGTATTTAAAAGTTTTTGCTGAAATTGTTAAAAATGCTTTCTTTTCATCAGTGGACATCAGAGGCGTACGAAAGCATAGATGCCACAGGACCCAAGGTCCACAGCACAGACAAGAGCCAAGACGACTCCACTTCAACCTTCCACGAGGCTCTGGAGGAGAAGACCATATGAGACCACAACCACCAAATGCCTCAGCCCAGCATGATCAAACACCTGAGCCCTCAAGTGATGTACATTACAGACGTCTTTTTGGAAAACTAAACATCTGCCATCTGTAGAAATGTAAGTATCCTATTAAAGGGAAAAGAACTGCTCT